GTTTAGTCTGTTCTTGAAGACCTGTGGTGACAAGGAACTTGCCATTTCATGAGGCATCTCCTTCCATGTTCGGACGATTTTAATTAAGTTCTTCCTGATTCATCTCCCTCTAACTTGTACTCTTCCCAAATTCAAATCTGGCCTCAGACACTTACTAGCTGTGTGGCCCTGGGCGTGTCACTTCACCCTGTTTGCCTCAGTTTCCTCATCTGTAAAAATAAGCTGGAGAAGGAATGGCAAATCACTCCAGTATCTTTGCCAAGTAAACCCCAAACGGGGTCATGAAGAGTTGGACACGACTGAAATGACTTTGTGCATTAGGCATCCTCATCTTTGTGCTCTAACGTTGTACAGAATACGTCTAGTGCTTCCTACACATAGAATCATCGTGTAGAACAGCAGGGAGGCTGTTTGGCCCAACTCCCTCATTTCACAATGGGAAAAGCGAGGCCTAGGACAGCTCTTCAGGAATTTGAAGGCAACAGTTATGATCCCCCTGTCTTCTTTTCTTAAAGTCATGGTAAAAATCCCCCGTTTTTTTCAACCAATCTGTACACGTCATGCTTTAAGTATAGTCTCGCTGCCCTAGCCATGGTCCAGTTTCGATGCTCTCCCATAAATGGCAGCGCCCGGTTGTCATCTGGCCAGGACAGCGCACGCTGCGGTGGGGACAATCGCTGCTCTTGTTCCGGACATTGTAGTTTTATTAACGAGCCTAAGGCCACAACAGCTTTCTTGGTTATTACATCACACCGCTGACTCATATTGAACTTCTAAACCATTGAAACCCTGGGGTATTTTTCCTATGAACTGCCACCTAACCATGTTCCCTCCATCCTGTAATTGCATACTAGATTTGTTGGAACCTAAATGCAAACCTTTGCATTCATCCTGACTCCACTCTCCAGCCTTTTTCTCTATCTCCTTGCCAACCACCTTTTCATCCTGGAGAAACTTCTGCCCAGCTCTCCAGGTCCGTGACTCCTTGGTCCCTGGAATTTCCTCCTTCTATCTCTGAGAATTCCTTGTTTTGTTCACTGCTTGGCATGTGAGCCCTTCCTGACCCTTGGTTCCTTGTGCCTCCTCCACCCATCCATGCCGCATTGCCTTGTATTGATTTTGTGTATACTTAAATGTGTCAACGTTGTCTCTATGGGGAGAATCCAATCTCCTTTCTGGTAGAGGCTGTTGGAAGTGTGAGGTTCTGTTTTGGGTTTTTGTTTCCCCTCATACCTAGCCCAACGCCCGGCACATCCTAGGCACTTAATATTACTTGGTGATAGAAAAACAGCAACATTTTTACTACTTTAAAAAAAAACCCTTTATTTTAACATCCATTAAAAAAAATTTTGAGTTCCAAATTCTAGCATTTCCTCAACCACTGGGAAGGCAAACACAAGGGGGTTGGGGGTGGGAACAAGCATGTATTAAGTCCTTACAATGTGCCAGGCGCTGTGCTAAGTGCTTTACAAGTTTTTCTTGAGTCATATCCGGTTCTTCATAACCCACTGAACCATACTATTTGTGGGGTTTTCTTGGCAAAGATACTGGAGTGGTTGGTCATTTCCTCCTCTAGTGAATCAAGGCAAACAGAAGTTAAGTGCCTTGCCCATGGTCACACAGCTAGCAAGTGCCTGAGGCTAGATTTGAACTCAGGTCTTCCTGCCTCCAGGCCCACTGAGCTAACCATGAGCTTTATAAACATTATCTCATTTGACTTTTGCAGCAACCCTGTAAAGTAGGTGCTATTATTATTCCCATTTATAGCAGAGTTCTTTTAGGGAAATAGTGGGAGACAAGGTTGAGGACTACATTAACAAATTGTACAGGGCCTTGAATGCCAGGCTAGGGAGTTTGGATTAAATCTCCTAAGTAATAGAAAATCACTGAAGATTTTTAAATAGGTAAGTGATGCATGAAAAGCGATGTCTTTGGAAGACTGTCCTAGTGGCAGTATAGAATTGATTGTGTTTGACTTTCTCACAGATTAGACCATAATCCCACTTTTCTCATGATGATGTGGGGATGGATCAATATTTGTAAAGTGCTTTGAGATTTTAAGTGGAAACTACCCTTAAGGCTGTTTTATCTTTTTTTTTTTAATTTGCCTATATCCTCTCTTTATAGGGTAATAAAAATGAACCATCTATGGTTCATTGGAAAACATGTCTCAGGTTTAAAAATATATGAATTTTTATTTTAAGACTAGATGGTCATATTACTCAAAATTGGAAGCCAAAATATATTATCTATTATTAATTTATTTTTAATGGACATCTTTCTTATAGATTAGCATTCCAATTACTTTTGAAAAAGGGGGAGGCAATGAGAAGAGATTTCCAATTAAAGTTGTCCTGGAGATAAATTGGGGACTTCAATTGAGAGCACTTCAGCTTTCTCCCAGTCACTGAGCAGCCACATTTATCATCCTCCTGGAGTCAAACTATTTCCATTTCTATCCTGGATTCTCCTTGGGAACTTCTGGCCTTCCTTATGGATGAGCTAGGATCATACCCACCACAGTTTCCAGCACAAGCTTATGGAGCTTGAAATGGCTTTGCATGTAACTTCTGTTATGAGCATGCACAGTTAAATAAAATGCAGCCAGCCTCAGCGAATCAAGACCTTCCCTTTCTGCTCCCTTTTGTTGCTCAGGAGCACCCCCTGCAGATAGAAGTTGGGAGTGGGATTACTAAGGATCACCACCATTTTTAAGGTTTGAAAAATGCAGGATGGATTGCAATCTGTGGTGTCCCCTGTGAGGTTAGCATAACCTCGAAAACGTGCCATGCTTTATTGGACAATCAATAAGTTTATCTGAATCCTTCTTGAACCCATTTATAGCTTTAATTAGTACATCCTTTTTAGGCTACAGCCTCCATAATAATACTGACACTCAGCCCTGCCATGTGGCTAGCAGCAAATTCTTTTAAGGGAATTAGTTCTGTGAAGTTTGGATTCAGTTGAAGGGCTGCACTTGAGGACCTAGAGGGCCACAAGGGCCTGGAGGCGGCAGGTTCCCCACCCCTGGTCTAGCCTGCTGTGCTTCTCCAAGCACTTTCATACCCATAGTCTGATTTGATTCTCCCAACAACCCTGGGGGGTGGGCAGGGGGGAAGTCATCCTGCTTGTACCCATGGGGAGCCTGAGACTCAGAATGAAGTGACTTATTGAAGACTCAAAGCTAGAAGTAACAGAGTAGGTCTTCACACCTCAAGTCACTTGTCCCAACACTCTCCTCCCTCCAGAAATTAGCTACCCACTGTAAAAAGCGGAACTTCCTGGAAGGGTGAGTGGGATTCAGCAGTCTAAGAAGAGAAGGGGGATCATTACAGAGGAGGGCAATAAACTCATGGAAGTGGGCGTGCATGCATCATGCCTAGATCACGAAGAATAAATTGGTCTGGCTGAAGCAGGCTTTGTATAGCAGAGCAGTAAGTACAGGACTTTGCTAGCTAGAACATGGCAGGAGGGAGAGAATCAGCATTTATTAAGCATCTGCTATGTGCCAGGCACAGTGCTAAGTGCTTTACAAATATTATCTCATTTGATCCTCACAACAACCCTGAGAGGTAGATGCTGTTATTATCCTTATCTTACAGTTGAAGAAACTGAGGCAGGCAGGGGTTAAGTGACTTGTCCAGGGTCACACAGCTAGGAAGTATCTGAGTCTGAATTAGAACTCTGGTCTTCTTGGCTCTATCCACTGTCCACCATCCACTATCCACTGCTCTATCCACTGAGCCACCCAACTGCCTTGGCTGAGTTTAGATATTTTTCTGGCAAACAATAGGAAGCCACTGGAAGTTTTTGAGCCAAGGAGAGAATATGAAAAATTTTCCTAAATTACCTTTTTCAATTTTCTGGGTTAGGCCCCAGTTTTAGTATTTTTGGAATTTGTTGAATAAATCCATGATCATCTTATCCATATCCCTTTACGATTTTATGTATTATAAAATCATAGATTTGGAGCTAAAAGAGACTTTCAAGAGCATCAAGGACAACCTCCTCACTTCACACAGCTAGCAAGTGTCTGAGGCAGAAACCAGACTCAGAGCTCTCTAACACCAAGCCCAGTGCCCTGTGGAATAGCCAGTAGCATGAACATATGTCTCAAGGAGCTCACAATCGAAGGGAGGAGATAATATGCAAACAACTATGTGCAAATAAGACATATACAAGACAAATTGGAGATATTCTCAGAAGGAAGACTCTAAGATTAAGGAAGACTGGAAAGGATCTTTGAAGAAAGTGGAACTTTAACTGAGATTTGAAGGAAGTCAGAGATGCCAGGAGGCAGAGATGAGGAGGGAGGGAGAATTCTAAAAATACACATATGATGTTATTGTTCAGCTTTGTCCTCCTCTCTGTGACCCATTTGGGGTTTTCTTGGCAAAGATCAATATCCAATGAGTGGTTTGCCATTTCCTTCTTCAGCTTATTTTGTAGATGAGGAAACTGAGGCAAACAGGGTTAAGTGACTTGACCAGAGTCACACAGCTAGCAACTATCTGAGGCCAGATTTGAACTCAGGAAGATGAGTCTTCCTGACTTTAGGCCTGGCACTCTAACCATTGTACCATCTAGCTGCCTCCATATATATATGTATCTATGTATGTCCATATACGTACATGTCAATAATAGCTCTATTATATGTATGTATTGCAACTGATGGGGTGATGGGACCTGGCCCCTAAAAGGAGAAGACCGTGTCTTTAAAAGCAACCTGGTTCCTGAATTTTCCCATACATTTCAGTAGCCCAGATCGCTGGCTTGGCCCAAAGCTCACCCCAACCCACTTAGACCACCTAATTAGCTCACTTGATGTCCCTTTTGCTGCAGCCCCTGGCCCACCCCAGACTACTTCCCATCCGGATCCTTTCACTGCCCTTTTTGTACATAAGCGTCAGTCTCACCCCCTTTGGTTGTCTAGGAACCCAGCCCACTTCTATTTACATCACAATAAACTGCCCCTAGACTGGAAGATGGTTTGACTACGGTAGGTACCCTGACATTTCAGGGGTTCCCAGTAACCCTAAACCGAATCACAGCTGTATCAATATCTAACCAGCTCGATTAAAGGTTTGCAAAACACTCTCTGTTTTTATTTGATCCTCAAAACAACTCTTTAAAATAGGTGTTATTATTATCTCCGTTTTACAGATGAGGAAACTGGGGCTGAAAGCGGCTTTGTGACTTGTCCTGATCAACATAACAGGTGAGCTTCTGAGGCAGGATTTGAATTAGGTCTTCTTGACTGTAAGTACACTGCCCTGTGTATTTTATTTATATTCCTTCTCAGACCTCTTCTATTGAGACTGGAGAAACTGAGGATTGCAACCATTTCTGAGACCGTCCCATATTAACTCTTTGCTTATCAATGGGTAAGGTCTAGAGATTTTCCTAACTTCACTGTCCCTGGCTTCCTGGCCAAACTTCCTCTTTGTCTAAGAACTCCTAATGTAAGTAAATAGGAAAAAGGGCATGGTGTAGGAAGACTCCTGGGGTGGAGGTGGGGGAGGGGGCAGGGCAGCTACCACCTGGGGATAGTTCTCAGCCTCTGTCCTCCGAAGTTCATTGCCCCCCCAGTATTATAGATAGCCAGGGCTGAGAAAATGTGGAACGAAAGTTGCTGCTGCTGCTGCTGCTTAATGAATAGCTAGCTGAGCAGGAGCACATATATTTAATACCACATACGTTTAATTGCTCCTGGCCCAGGAGTGAGTTGGATGTTTGGGGAGTTTTACTGAGATGGTTCTCAGGGAAAATTGAGGGCATGTATATCAAGCAATTTTTTGAATTATGTCTCTATTAGCATCTGCAAATGTCTCCCAGGGGAACGAGAGAAAACTCTATTATTTGAGCTGTTTAAAACAGGATTGGAGGAAGCAGTAGTGAAAATCCCGCAGGGAACAATAATTATAAACAGCACTTCCATGTAAACAGGTTTTAATGTATTTTATATATTGAATTCTTAGGAGCGAGAACCTCTGGGCTCTCCTGTAGCATGATTCTCACAGATACCAGGCCCTGTCTGGAAGCTTTAGGGAGTCCTCTCCAGGGCCCTGTGTCCACTGCCTTGCCGGCCTCCATAACTGCTGGTCTTCCATGGAGACTCTGAGTTATACATACTTGGCCTCTACAGATCCAATCTGCCTGCAGTCACAAAGTGCGTGCATATGGAGATGTAGAAGGACTGGTTGACTTGTCAAGAGGTCCAAGTTCTAGGGGCAGCTAGGTGGCACAGTGGAAAGAGCACCAGCCCTGGATTCAGGAGGACCTGAGTTCAAATTTGGCCTCAGACATATAACACTTACTAGCTGTGTGACCTTGGGCAAGTCACTTAACCCCATTGCCTAACCAAAAAAAAAAAAAGAGAGGGAGAGAGAGAGGTCCAAGTTCTAGTCTCAGTTTTGTTACTACCTAACAAACTTGGTCAAATCACTTCTAAACATGAGTTTTCTACAGGAGAAGAGAAATCATGGAGCTCCTTGTAATTCATGGAAACTTAGAATCATAGAATGCTGAAACTGGAAATGATCTTGGAGGCCTTCCATAGAGCTTCAGCTCCAAAACTTTATAACGGGGTCATTCCCCTTGGGCCCAGAAGGCTGAGGCGGTCTGGAAAGGGCTTTTCTAGAGAATTTTTGCTCCAAGGATGGTTAGTTCAGAAGGTCACTGAGAAGCTTGAAGGCAGAACCCAATTAATGGCCTTGGGAGATCCTGGAAAAGCTGATTATTTTTTACAGGTCTGGGGAAGGGAACTTCGGGTTGGTAAACCATGAAGCCTCAATGCTTGTAGTCTAGAATTTATAGGCTTTTCTTGTTATTATTCAGCTGTTTTTCAGTCATGTATGACTCTTCAGGACCCCATTTGGAGTTTGCCATTTCCTTCTCTAGCTCATATTACAGATGAGGAAATTGAAGCAAACAGCATTAAATGACTTGCCCAAGGTCACCTAGCTAGTAAATGTCTGAGGTCAAATTTGAACTCAGGTCTTCCTGACTCCAGGCCCAGCACTCTATGCACCATGCTCTAGCTGCCCCAAGAATCCAGAAGTGGATTTCAGAGAATATCTCTGCCAGAGATGTGTTGGCAAATACTTTACAACAGGCTTCTGAGGGAAAAAATGTAAATATGACATCTTCTAAATTTATTCTGCATTAACCTTTTATCTATCACTTGAGTCTAGAGCAGAGGTGTCAAACTGCTCAATTAGCCTGCAAAACTCCAAAGTGCACTCATTAAAATGGGATTGGGAATTGTTTACAAAATAAATTTTTTAAAATATAATGCAACATAGATAATGCTAATTTCTGGTTTTCTAAGTCAATATGCAGCCTGCAGAGATCAATTTCTATTTGAGTTTGACACCATTGGTCTAGACAATCAAAAAAACAATAAGTCAAGCTCTGATTTGTCACTTTGCTTATTTCCAAGATGTAACTTCTCAAATTTAATGATTGGCTCTTGTGACCAGTTCCAGCTGGCACCCCTGACTCTACCTGATATGTGATATCATTCCTCAACAATAATATCTCCCCAAATCCCCTACACTTCTCTTTTTTTTTTATTAGTGATGTCATTATTTGCTCAGTTCTCAGACTTGACACCCTGGGGCTAATTTAGACTGCTTTTCTTCTCCTTACTATCTCAATCAGTCACCAAGTTACAACCATTCTTGCTTCATAATAATGCCCACAACCCTTCCTTGTTTTCTATTCCATTGAGGGACAGTATGCCAAGGGCTGTGGACCTGGAGTCAGGAAGACCTGGACACATAGCCTGCCTTACATACTACCCCACTGTGTGACTCCTGGAACATCACTTAACCTCTCTGAGGCTTAGCTTCCTTATCTCTAATTCGGACAGGTGGTTTTTAATGTCCCTCAAAGTTCTAAAATCTTATCATCCTATTAAAATGCTCTTTCCTGTACAATGCGTTATATTACTTTGTATTCTCTTTACATGTGTGCATGCCTCATTTTCTCAACTGGACTGGAAGCAGTCTGAAGGAACAGTAACAATAATTCCTATTTCTATAGTGCTTTAAGGCCTCAGTATCAAATAGGAATGGATTCCTGTGGGTTTCCTATTGACTTAGAAAGCCACACTGTCTATATTATACTGTGTTTGTATTTATTTTGTTGAACATTTCCTAGTTACATTTTAATCTGGTTTGGGATACACTGGAGCATTTTGTGGCTCTGTTTCAAGGCACATGGAGCACTTCCCTCACAACAGCTCTGCAAGGTAGTGCAAATGTCATCATGCCTGTTTGAAAGTTGAGAGGGTGAGGCTCAGAGAAAGGCTTGTCCATCACTTGTCCATGATGGTACAGCTATATCTGAGTCTCTTATTCTTTCTGGTACCTCACTAGATGTAATATCTCTGTGTCCTCTGTGGGACAGTACCTTGCATATATTTCTTTCTTTTTTTTAAAAACAATTTATTTATTAATTTTTAGTTTTCAATATTCCCTTCCATAAGATTTTGAGTTTCAAATTTTCTCCCCCTCCCTCTCTTCCCTCCTCCCCAAGATGGCATGCAATTTGATATAGGCTCTACTTATACATTCGTATTAAGCACATTTTCACATCAGTCACGATGTTAAAAAAAAGAATTAGAACTAATGGGAGGAACCACGAGAAAGAAGAATCAAAACAAAACAACAAAAGAAAAGGAGAGCAAATAGTTCTTCCTAAATCAATCAGCAACTGTTTTAAACCTTTACTAGGAGAGATGAATGCATTGATCTGAGTTTGCACCCTCCTCCAAAACTCACTAAGAATTGTGTGACCATGGGCACACATGTGACTTCACTTAGACTCTGAACCTCAGTTTCATCATCTGTAAGGTGGGGATGATAATGCCTGCTATACCTAGTTCACAGGGCTATTATGAGACTCAAATGACAGAATGTACATAAAGTGCTTAGTAAACCTTAAAGCTCGGTGTAAGCATCAGCTATCACTGTTATTAACACAAACAACAATAATTTGCTCAGAAGTGAGGCTTGCTTTTTTTCCCTTTTGTCCTGAATGTCATCCTAGGGTAAGAAATACTTTGAACGTTGGCTTTTTGGAGGGAAAGAGGACAACTGCATTTTGTAGGAAGAAAGCAGAAAGATTTAATGATATAAGCCCTCAGGCTCCAATCAGAATGTACAAAACTCAGGAGACCTCAGAGGACAGGAGCATGGCCTGGTAAATAAAGCTTAACTTAACAAACATTCATTAAGTGCCTACTGTGTGCTATGTCCTATGCTACGCCAAAGGGGATGTAAGATGTGATCCTTGTCCTCATGGAATTTACAGGCTAGTAGGGGAGACAGATCTGCACAGAAAGAACTAGAATTCAAACTCATACTCTTGAGTGCATAAAGAGATACAAAGGTGCAAGGAAGGAAGCATCACAGCAATCTTCTGAGCCCTTGGAAAGAGTCTAAAAGGCTGCCCATGCTAGGATAAAGATCACAGGAATAAGAGTGCCACAGGAAAAAGCCAACGTGGCCCCCATTACTTTGAGAAGCTTAGGAACACTGACCCAGAAGCACACTGACCCAGATCTTCATCTGGTGCATTGTTGTACTGATTCATTACTTACTTGGGCCCACGGATCCATAGAAAGAGCCAGATGTTTAAAACAAACTATGAAACAAAGACTTTAATCTCAGATTTTTATATCTCAGAACGTTCTTTGTACTCCATTGATTTAAAAGAAAAGGACTTGATTTGCAATACAATGAATTCCAACAGAAATTTCTACCCCAGATTTGCAGCCTATAATATGCAATGGAAAGGATACTGGATTTGTAATTAGAGGATCTGAGTTCAAATCTCTCATTCCTTCCTGTGTGATCTTAGGTAAGTCACTCAAAGTCTCTGGGCTTCAGTTTCCTCATTTGTAAAATCAAGAGATTGAACTACTAAGATCCCTGAGAACTCTGGGACCTGTGATCTTAAGAAACATCCCCTGGGCAGAGCTCTGATATTCCTCCACTTCTGTCCCTATTTCCCAATGCTAAAATCATAACTTTAGCACTCCAGAGTAGGGGGCTGGTGTCTACATCACACACATCAACACTCTCCTCATCTGATAGGTCTATCTAGCTATTTAGAAGCCTCAGGTGCAAGGGATTGATCTTGGGTATCTTACCTCTTTCACTGATTGGCATTTGCCTACTTAGTCAGGGTGCCACACCCTCTCATGTCCTGCTAGTTCCTGCACCATCAAGACGGCGTGGTGTAATGATGTGAGAGTGACCATGGTAGAGGCAGTAGGGTACATTAGAAAGTACACTGGCTTTAGAATCGGAAGATCTGAGTTTAAGTCTTGCCTCTAGCTACTTTTCTTATAAAAGAAAGGTAAGATTCTTCACTTGGACCCAGAGAATAGTGCCAAGGCCAATGGGTGTCAGTTACAGAGAAGGAAGATCTTGGCTTAATATAAGGAAGAACATATATATATGTGTGTGTGTGTGTATGCATATATATATATGTATGTATACATGCATATATGTATGTATATATGTATACACACATACATATGTGTGTATGTATATGGTTTTATATATAGTTTTATATGTGTAAATGTATCTATATCTATATCATTCTTTATTTATCTTTGTTGTTTGGTTGTTTCAGTTGTGTCTGACTCTTCATGACCCCATTTGGGGTTTTCTTGTCAAAGACTAATTTGCCCTTTCCTTCTCCAGCTCATTTTACAGATGAAACTCAAGCAAACAGGATTAGTTGACTTTCCCAGGGTCACACAGCTAGTAAGTGTCAGAAGCTGGATTTTGAACTCATGAAGATGAGTCTTCCTGACTCCAGGACTAGCTGTGTCACCTAACTGCCCATTATTATACTTTATCTATCTATCTATCTATCTATCTATCTATCTATCTATCTATCTATCTATCTATCCATCCATCCATCCTTATAATTCCTTAAAATTAAAGCTGTCCCCAATTTGAATAGGCTCCTTTTCAAGATGTTGAGTTTTACCTTTCCCTGGAGGTGCTTAGGCAAAAACCAGATGTTCGCTTCTCAGGGATGGAGGTGATTATTAATGCTTCAGTTAGGGTTGGACTGTAAGACTTCTAATGTGCTATCCAATTAGCTTCTATTATTCTAATGTAGCAGGGACTGTGTCAGGGCCTTATCTGATAAACTGCAGGTCTTGAGTTTGGAATTAGCCCTACCCATATAGCTTCTCCTGTTTTGGAAAGAATTAAAGAGTTGGGTAGAAATGACATTGGTTAGTAATCATTAAATCTATTTGGTGCTAGTTAAAGATAGAAAGTTGAGCATTTGAATGGAGTAGACAAGTAAGACCCAGAAACAATTGAATTGAACAAAGTGGCAGATTAACTCAAGAACAACAAGTAGGATTCCTTATTTAACTAAAACTTCCGGGAAAACTGGAAAGCAGTCAGGCGGAAATTAGTCAGACCATGTGGTAGGATGATAACTGCCTTACATAAGACTGATTAAGCTGGCAACAGATAATAAAGGATGTGGATAACACCTGAGGTACAGGTGTGAGCTGCTCAGGTGGGCAGCTACTTTGGGGGAGGAGTAGCCCTCTCCCATTTGCCCCTCAGAATATTAGACCCAGTGGGATAAATCTAGCTCTGAACCATGTTACCTCGGGTTAATTTTAGGTCATGTATCTGTTTGAAGTTTATTGCCTTATATGATAAAAGATTATTGTCTCAGTCCAAAACTCAAAGTCTATTCTATTATAATGTAGTAGAGTAGGTAAAGCAAATGCTTGAGCCTATACTTAAAACCCTGAGTACTCTACTACATTATAATAGAATAGACTTTGATTTTTGGACTGAGACAATAATCTGTTTAAAATAAATAAATAAAATATTAGAGAACAGGAGGGGTTTTCTTGTATAACTATGGTCAGGGGAAATTTTTTTTTAACTAAACAAAAGATAGAGGTTATCAAAAGATAAAATGGATAATTTCCTTTATACAAAAATTGAAAGGCTTTTACACTAACGGAATCAGCGAAACTGGAATCAAAAGAGAAGCAGTTAATTGGGAAAATTTTTGCTGCAAATATCTCTGAAAAAGTCTTATATCCAAGATCTATAGGGAATCTATATAAATATATAAGAAGAAAAGCCATTCCCCAAAAGATATGTAGTCAAGGCAATGTAAAGGCAGTTTTTGGTGGTCTCAGGGAGTGGAGCCAAGATGGTGGAGTAAAAGCAGTGACTTGCTTGAGCTCTACCCCAAACTCCTCTAAATACCTGTAAAAATGGCTCTAAACAAATTCTAAAGCAACAGAACCCACAAAAAGACAGAGTAAAACAAATTTCCAGCCCAACACGGCTGGATGGTTAATTAGAAGGGTCTATCAAGCTGGGCTGGGAGAGAAACGCAGTTCAGCACGTGTGCGCAGTCAAAGCCTGGGTCTCAGCAAACCTAGAGCAGGCCTCAGAGGACTGAATCATGGGCAACTATGGCAGTTTCCAGACTTCTCAACCCACAAATGCCAAAGACAATTTAGAATGTCAGTAGGAAAAGTCTGTGACTTCAGTGAGAGAGAAGCTTGGTCACAGCCCCAGTCCTGGGGCAGTGGCTGCTTCCAGAGTTTCCAGCCCACAGACTGAGGGGGAATTGAGTAGATGATCAGAGGGGGACTGCAGAGATCTCTTTGTTGGTGCTGAAGTAGGATTCTCTTGCTTTGCCTGTGCTTGGATCTGGGTCACAGTTCTGGGTGGCTGTCCTGGGTCAAGATGGAGTGCTGGTGTGGTGGAGCTTGTAGTGGCAGTGTAGATAGAATCCTTCTCACAGTTCCAAGGCAGAAAAGAGTGCTTGTGATCTCTCATAGACCAGAGCACAGGCCAGGAAAGGAGTAAACACCTTGCCCCTTGTCATACCACCTTGGAAGAACTGAAAATTTACAGGTCCCTAGAAGTACCTCTGAAAACAGCTGCACAAACTCCCCAATGCTTGGGACAGTACATTCTCCACACTGGAAGCAGACCCTTATCTTAACAAAGAATTTATAACTCAAGTAATTGGCTGGGATCATGAGCAAACAAAGGGGCAAAAAAAGTCAGACCACAGAATCTTTCTTTGGTAACAAAGATCAAAACTTACAACCAGAAGAAGACAACAAAGTCAAAGCTCCTACACCAAAAGCCTCCAAGAAAAATATCAATCAGTGCCAAGCCATGGAAGAGCTCAAAAAAGATTTTGAGAAGCAAGTAAGAGAAGTAGAGGAAAAACTGGGAAGAGAAATGAAAGTGATGCAAGAAAATCATGAAAAACAAGTCAACAAGCTTGCTAAAGGAAACCTAAAAAATACTGAAGAAAATAACACCTTAAAAAATCGTCTAACCCAAATGGCAAAAGAGGTCCAAAAAGCCAATGAGGAAAAGAATGCCCTAAAAAGAAAAATTGGCCAAATGGAAAAGGAAGTCCAAAAGCTTATTGAAGAAAATACTTCCTTAAAAATTAGAATGGAGCAATTGGAAGCTTTATGAGAAATCAAGACATTGTAAAACAAAACCAAAAGAATGAAAAAAATAGAAGACAATGTGAAATATCTCATTGGAAGAACAACTGACCTGGAAAATAGATCCAGGAGAGATAATTTAAAAATTATTGGACTATCTGAAAGCCATGATCAAAAAAAGAGCCTAGACATCATCTTTCAAGAAATTATCAAGGAAAACTGCCCTGATATTCTAGAACCAGAGGGTAAAATAGAAATTGAAAGAATCCACTGATCACCTCCTGAAAGAGATCCCCAAAGAAAAACTCCTAGGAATATTGTAGCCATATTCCAGAGTTCCCAGGTCAAGGAGAAAATATTGCAAGCAGCCAGAAAGAAACAATTCAAGTATTGTGGAAACACAATCAGGATAACACAAGATTTAGCAGCTTCTACATTAAGGGACCAGAGGGCTTGGAATATGATATTCTGGAGGGCAAAGGAGATAGGATTACAGCCAAGAATCACCTACCCAGCAAAACTGAGTATAATCCTTCAGGGGAAAAAATGGACATTCAGTGAAATAGAGGACTTTCAAGCATTCTTGATGAAAAGACCAGAGCTGAATAGAAAATTTGACTTTCAAATACAAGACTCAAGAGAAGCATGAAGAGGTAAACAGGAAAGAGGAAACATAAAGGACTTAATAAAGTTGAACTGTTTACATTCCTGCA